AAGCAGGCAGAGAGGCAGGCAGGGAGAGAGAGAGGAGGAAGCAGGCCCCCCACAGAGCAGAGAGCCCGATGTGGGGCTCGACATGGGGCTTGACGTGGGGCTCGATCCCAGGACCCTGGGACCACGACCCGAGCCAAAGGCAGAGGCTCTAACCCCCTGAGCCACCCAGGCACCCCTGTGAATTGATTTTTGATAAGGGCGCCATGACAATTCAATTAGAAAGAATATTCTTTTCAATAAATAGTGCTGAAACAACTGGATATCCATAAACAAAAGAGTTAAGTTGACCCCCACCACTTACCATATACAAAAATTAACTCAAAATGGATCATAGACCTAAATTAAGTAGTTAAAACTATAAAACCCTTAGATGAAAATGTAGGAGTAATCCTTACATGACCTTAGATTTGGCAATGGAGTCTCAGACATGACACCAAAAACAAAAGCAACAAAAGGAAAAATAGATAAATGGGTCTTCACCAAAATTAAAAATTTGTGTATCAAAGGACACTATTGAGAAAGTGAAAAGGCAACCAAACAGAATGGGTGAAAATATCTGCAAGTCATATCTCTAATAAAGATTTTTGTATTCAAAATATAAAAAGAACTCTTACAATTTAACAACAACAACAAAAGATAAATACCCCAACTTTTTTAAATTGCAAGAGACTTCAATAAACATTCCTGCAAAGAAAATACACAAATGGCCAATAAACACATGAAAAGATGCTCAGTGTTATTAATCATCAGAGAAATAAAACAAACCCAAAATGAGAGCCACCCACTAGGATGGCTCTAATGAAAAAGACAAAGTACAAGTGTTGGTGAGGATGAGAAGAAATTAGAACCCTCATATATTATTGATGGGAATGTAAAATGATGCAGCTGCCATGGAAAAGTTTGGAAGTTCTTCAAAAGTTTAAACATAGAGTTACCACAAGACCCAGAAATTCCACCCCTAGGAATTTACCCGAGATAAATGAAAACATGTGTCCACACAAAAACTTGTACATGAATGTTCATAGCACCATTATTCATAATAGCTCAAAAGTGGGAGCAACCCAAATGTCCATAAACTGATGAATGGATAAATACAATGTGATATAACCATAAAATGGAATATTATTTGGTAATTAAAAAAGAAATACTAATACACAGTACAGCATGGATGAACCCTGAAAATATAATACTAAGTGAAAGAGGCCCATCACAAAAGACTACATATTGTATGATTCTGTGCATGTGAAATGTCCAGGACAGGCAATACATAGAGATAAAAAGTAGATTAGTGATTGCTTAGGTTTGGATACCAGGGAGGGAAGGGGAGTAACTGCTAATGGGTTTTGCTGCGGGATGATGGAAGTGTTCTAAAATTGATTGTGTGATGTTGGTACAACTCTGTGAATATGCTAAATGCTATTGATTGAATTGTACACTTTAAGTAGGTGATTTGCATGGCATAGCAATGATATTTCAATAAGGCTTTTATTTAAAAAAAAAACAGAATTTTAACACCTTGGAAATTATATAGAAGAAGAATCAGGGAAAAAATGGTGAGGGAAAACACACCTATGATTTTTAAGGAAAGTTCATGGACAGATTCATTTAATCTTCACAACCCATGAGAGCAGAACTACTAATACCTCCACTTCATAGGAGAAAAATTGAAGCACATTCCTTTAAACAACTTTCTTACCCACAAGCAAATAGGTTTAGTAAAACAACCAAAAAAAGTATATCCCATGTATTTGGAAATTAAGAACTCATTGGTAAAAGAAAAACAAACCATAAGAAAATTATAAAGCTCTTAAACTGAAAAACAATGAAAATGTGACATATTTAATATTGTTAAATAGACACTTCTAGTCCTGATCAGAGAAGAGCAGACACACTTCCCCCTATTTCTCCCACAAACTATATCCTGGATACTCCATATTAAAAAAAAATATGACTTTGAAATGGGGAACACTTAGGAAACTGGGGACCCAAGGAATGACACAGTAATGAGTTTCCTGGGCATTCTTTTTGTTTTATATATCTCATACTGGGACCTAAAGATGCTGGCAACACAGAAATGCCTATAGACAAAGGCCAAAAAAAAAAAAAAAAAAAAAAAAAATCCCTAAGAAATCTTGCTCTTTCTAACTGTAGGACCAGGAAAGGGAGAACCTTGCAAGACAGAAAATTTTTGGACAACAACCACACTATTCAACCCAAACACCTTGGAAAAAATCGTGGCCCTACCACTCTACACACCAGAAAAGGCCAAGGGGAGAAAGTAGACTTCTACCCTCACCAGGCTTTAATGAAGTGACTCACCTCCCCTGTCAGGGCGGTATGACAGAAGACCAAGTGATTAGACTTTCATCTCAGCCAGACAATAATGAGATATCCCCCATATTGTCAGTGGATATCATATGGGGAACCAGGACTTCCACTCCCACATTATGGTAAAAAGGAACCCTGCCGTCTCCCTGCTGGAATGGTGTCAAAGGAGGCCCAATAGAGTCAAGACTTTCACCACCACCTGGTGGCAACAAAGTGCCACTTCCAACCCAGGGTGTCAACAGAGGCTGAGGTAGACATCCAGACTTCTGCTTATAACCTGGCAAGAAGTTGTGTCCATATTACACTGAAAGCATTGTGTCAGAGGAAGTCTGCTAAAACAACAATTAAGTAAGATCTAGTGTGTCATAACATAATACTAAAAATGTTCAGGCTACAATCTAAAATCACCAGTTATACCAACAGCCAGGAAAATCTCAACTTGAGTAAGAAAAGACGATCAACAGATGCCAACAATGAGGTACCAAGACGTGAACTAGAATTATCTGACAAGGATTTTAAAGGAGCCATTTCGAAAATCTTTCAAGAAGCAATTATGAACATGATTAAAATAAATTAAAAAATAGAAAGTTTAATCAAAGAAAGTGTCAATAAAGAAAGAGAAGATAAAAAGAAGAATCAAATGGAAACATTGGAACTAAAAACACAATAACCAAAGCAAGGGAAAAGCTTCACTTGATAGGCTGAACATCAGAATGGAGAGGGTAGAGAAGAGAACTAATGAACAGAAAGAACAGTAGGAACTACCCAGTCTAAACAACGGAAAAGAAAAAAAAAAAAACCACTGGGAAAAATACATAGAGCCTCAGGGAATGGTAGAACTGTTACAAAAGAGCTAACATTCACTCTTTGGAGTCATGAGGAGAAGAAAAGGAAAAATGTAGGACTGAAAAAGCATTTGAATAAATCATGGCTGAAATTCCCCCAAATTTGGCAAAAAAGTATAAACCTACAGATTCAAGAAGCTTAAAGAATTCTACACAGAATTCAAAGAAATCCATGCTATAGCACATGGTAATCAAAATTCTAGAAATTAAAAATTAAGAAAAATCTTGAAATCAATGAAAGAGAAATAACACCTTATTTACAGTGAGAAAATTCAAATGGCAATGGATTTTTTTTTTTGGCAGTGGATTTCTTACCAGAAATTGTGCAGGCCATAAGAAAATAACACAAAATTTTTCAAATGCCACAAGAAAAGAACTGTCAATGTAGAATTCTAGAACCAGTAAAAATCTTCCTTTGGAATGAAGGGGAAATCAAGATATTCCCAAATAAAGAAAACTAAGAGAATTTATCAGCAGATTTACTCTAAAAGAATAGCTAATAGAAATTCTTGAAAAAGAATTGAAATGATAAAAAATTTGAAAACATCAGCAACAAATAAATAAGGGAAATAGTAAAAATACAGGTAAATAAAATACTTTTGCTCTCTTGAGTTTTTTAAATTTTTACTTTTGAAGCAAAAATTAAAAAGATAACATTATGTGATATGGTTCTCAGTGTATGTAGAGAAAATATTTAAGATAATTACAAATGGGAGAGAGGAAAGGAATTTATGGGGAGATAAGATTTATACACTTCACTCAAACTGGTAAAATGTAGTCATTAGTAGAATGTGATAACTCATGTATGTATAAGTATGCAACACCTAGGGCAACCGTTAAAACTCTGTAGAAAGAGATATACTCAAAAAATACTTTAGGGTCAGAGGCAGACAGGGTTAGAGATGCTACTGGTATCTAGTGTTACATTCCAGAGTTGTGAACCATTCTACAACACACAGTACTGTCCCTCACAACAAATAATTGTATCAATAGTGCTGAGGTTGAAAAACCCTGGCTTACATGCTCACCAGTGCTGATATTATCATTCTTTTTAATAACATTTTTTTAAGTTTGTATTTATGTTTCCCTTTACCTGCTTTCTATGTAGCCAGTGATAATTTGTTTTCCATAACCATCATCGATTCATCATTCATTTAATCTTGCCAATCTTGTAGTTTGAAAAATGAAAACTTAGTTTATTTTGTACTTCTTCAGAAGAATGGAGTTATCTTTACTTTTTACTTTAGGTATTATTTGAATATTTTATAATGAACACGTATTATTTTTATAATTTTTTGGAAAAGCTATTAAAGATTTTTTAAAAAATACTACAAATAATTCAAAATGAGATTCTAAAATATGTTCAAGTAACCCACAGGAAGAAGTAACCCACAGCCAGAAGAAACAGAAAAAACAAGCCACAGAAAACAAAAATTAAAATGGCAAACATAAGCCTTAACATATCATTATATACACTAAATGTAAGTGGTCTAATTATACCAATTGAAAGGCAAAGATTGACAGAGTAGATTCAAACATATAATGCAGCCATGAAACTCACTTCAAATACTGTATAGGTAGGTTGAATTAAAAGAATAAAAATATATATACTATAAAGACATCAATTACAAGAAATCAGGAATGAGTATATTATTAACAGACAAACTCGTCCTTAGAGGAAAAAAAAATTACCTTGGACAGAGGAATTTTAGATAATGATAAAAGAGTCAGTCTACCAAGAAGACATAGAAATCCTAAATTTATATGCATAAACCAACAGAGCTACAAAATATGTGAAGTAAAAATTAATACAATTACATTTGGAGAGTGCTCACTTCAGCAGCAGCACCTATACTAAAAATGGAATGATATAGAGATTAGCATGGCCCCTGCACAAGGATGACAATTACAGTTGGAGACTTCAACATCCCTCTATAAACAACTGATAAAAGGTCTAGGCAATCAACAAGAATATATAAGAACTTAACACATCATCAACCAACAGGATCTAAGTAACATTTATATAACTTTCCATCCAATAACAGCAGAATACACATTCTTTTAAAGTGTCCACAGCACAAAGATGGCACTGAAAGTGAAGAAGGAAACCCCTGCCCCTCCCAAAGTTAAAGCCCAGGTTTCAAAGGCCAAGAAAGCAGTGTTGAAAGTTATCTGGAATCACAAAAAGAAGAAAAGAAGAAGGAGGAGGAGAAGGAAGAGGAAGAGGAGTATATTGACACATCACTCAATTTCTAGTGGCTCAAGCCTCTATGGCTCTAAAAGCAGCCAATATATCCTTAGAAGAATGCCCCCAGAAGAAACAAGTTTGTCTATTATGCCATTGTCAGCTTGTCCCTGACCACAGAGTCAGCCATGAAGAAGATAGAAGACAATAGCACACTGTTCATTGTGGATGTCAGGGCCAGTAAGCACCAAATCAAACAGGCTGCGAAGAAGCTCTACGACATTGAGGTGGCCAAGGTCAACATCCTGATCAGGCCTGATAAAGAGAAGAAGGCATGTGTTCAACTGGCCTCTGACTATGACACTTTGGATATTGCCAACAAAATTGGGATCATCTAAACTGAGTCCAGGTGGGTAATTGTAAATGTAAACTTTTTGCTACACACATAAAAAATAACAAGGTATCTATGGAGCAGAGAATAAGATAGTTCATATTCAGGACCATAAAACAAATCTTAACAGAATGAAAATAATGGAAATTGGAATGTGTTCTCTGATTACAAAAGAATCAAACTAGAAACAAGTAACAGAAAGATAACAGAAAATATCCAAGCATTTGAAAACAAAAAAGCATGCTACTAAATAATCCATAGATCAAAGAGGGACTCTCAAAGAAAATAAGAAATACATTGAATTGGATGAAAATTAAAATCTAGCATATCAAAATTTGTGAGATGCTGCTAAACCAGTGCTGAGAGGGAATTTTTTACCATTAAATACTTACATTTAAAAAAAGGAAAAATCTCAAATCAGTCATCTAATATTAAGAAACTTCATAAAGGAGCACAAAGTAAGCCCAAAGGAAGCAAAAGGAAAGAAAAAACAACAACAAAATTGAGAACAGAAAGCAACATAGAAAATCCATAAAACAAGGTGCTGATTCTTTGAAAAGAGCAATAAAAGTGACAAGTCTCTAGCTAGACTGACAAACGACAAAAGAGAGAAGACACAAATTACTACTATCAGAAATGAAACATGGGCGATCACTGCAGACCCTGCAAACATCAAAAGGATAATAAGGAAATGGTGTGAACAACTCTACCAAATTTGATGAATTAGATGAAACGGAGCAATTTTTCCAAAAAGCACAAGATTGCACAACTCACCCAATTTGAGTAGCCCTATAATAACTACTTAGAAGTTTGTAACTTTAAAATTACAAAGAAAGTAATCCCCAGGCTCACATAAATTCTACCAAACATGAATTCTAGGTAAAGTTTATCAAACATTTTAAAAAGAACACCAAATTTGTAAAATCTTTTCCAGAATATAAAAAGGAGAACAATTCTGAGCTTATTTTATGAGGGCAGTATCATCCTGATACCAAAATCAGACAGATAGTCCAAAAAAAGAAAACTGCAAATAGTTTTCATGACTATAGGCATTAAATTACTTACCAAAGTATCAAATGGAATTGAGCAACATACAAAAATAATTACACATCATGAATGAAGAGGATTTATTCCAGGGATACAAAGATGGTTCCATATCTGAAAATCAGTCTATGTAAACCACCATATTAATTAATGGTCTAGAGAAGAAAAGTAAAACGATCATGTCAATTGGTGCAGAAAAAGCACCTGACAAAATTTATCACTCAAGCATGGTATCAGCAAAGATGGTGAAGAGAGGAATTTCAAAAATCTGCCCTTCCATAAAAGCAATTAAAAACCTGGCAAAAGCAACTTTTCCAGAACTCTGGAAACTAACTAAAAGTTTACAGTGACAAGGAGAATGTAATAAAAAACCAAAAACAAAAAGAGAAAAAAAATCAAGCCAAATCTCAGTGAGAAAAGAAGCTTTGTGGAATTTTAAAAGATCTTGGTTCCATCCCCCCATCCCAAGCCCAGTGGTAGACTTGAAAATAACCCCACCTTCCTGGTACTGGGGTGGAGGGGAGCAAAACAGATCTCATTTACAAAGAATTGTAATTAATTGCTTTGACTCATCTGGTAGCTCCTTGGAAGATCAGCTCATAAGGTTTTCCTTTAACTTCCCTACCTCAAAACTCAGCCTGTTTCTGAACATAGAGTTACTATATATCCTAGATATATACCCAACCGAAGTGAAAATATATGTTCACATAAAATCTTATACATGAGTGTTCATAACAGTACTATTCCTAGTAGCCAAAAAGTGGAAACAACTCAAATGTCCATCAGCTGGTGAATGAATACACAAACCTTGGTATAGCCATACAATGGAAAATTATTGTCATGAAAAGGAATGAAGGATTGACACATGCTACATGAATGGAATTGAAAAGTTTATACTAAGTGAAAGAAGCCAGACAAAAAGGTCACATATTGTATGAATCCATTTCTATGAAACACCCATAATAGATAAATCTATACAGACAGAAAGCAGATCAGTGGTTGCCAAGGGCTGAGGGGAAGGGGGATTGGAGAGTGACTGCTTAATGTGTATGGATTTCTATTTAAGGTACCAAGAGTGTTCTGGAATTGGCTGGTGGTGATAGTTACATAACATTGTGAATATACAAAAAAACACTGAATTGTACACTTTAAAATGGTTTAAGTAATTAATATCCTTTGTTATGTGCATTTTATCTTAATGAAAATATTTCAAAAAAATTCAACACATTCATGATAAAAATGCTCAGAAAATTAGGGATAGAGAGTAGCTTCCTCAATCCGACAAAGAATGCCTTCAAAAATTGTATAACGGACAGGGTGCCTGGGGGCTCAGTGGGTTAGGCCTCTGCCTTCAGCTCAGGTCATGATCCCAGGTTCCTGGGATCGAACCCCACATCAGGCTCTCTGCTCACCGGGGAGCCTGCTTCCCCCTTTCTCTCTCTGCCTGCCTCTCTGCCTACTTGTGATATCTGTGTCGAATAAATAAATAAAATATTTTAAAAAATTGTATAATGGACATGAAAAACAATGATTTCCTCTTAAGATCCAGAACAAGGCAAAGATGTCTGCTCTTTTTGCTTATATTCAGCATAATACTGTAATCCTAACCAAAACAATCAGGCAATAAAAACCTGATTCAGATCAAGAAGGAAGAAATCAAAGCATCCCTATGGTCTACATAGAAAATGACAAAACTTCTGCAAAAGACTCCTAGAACTAATATGTCAATTTAGGAAGGTCATAGAATACAAGATCAACATATAAAAATCAGTAGTATTTCTGTTTATTACCAATGAACACATGGATACCAAAATGAAAAACACAATACCATTACAACCACTCAAAAAAATACTTAGGTATAAGTGTAACAAAATATGTACTATACTTTTATGTTAAAATCTACAAAACACCAATGACAGAAATAAAATATTTGTATAGATGGAGAGACATAGCAAATCCATGGATTAGAAAACTCAGCATAATAAAGGTTTCATTTCTTCCTAAATTGATATACAGTGTTCATGCAATTCTTATTAATATCCCAGTAAGACTTTTTGTAAATATAAACAAAATTCTCTAAAATGTATTTGGAAAAGTCATGGAACTAGAACAGCTAAAAGAATTTTGAAGTAGAATTAGGAAATAGAGAATTGGAAAGGAGCACTCCAACCAATTATTATTATATAGCTACAATAATCAGGACAGTGTAATATGGACAGAGGAATGTACACATAAATCAATAAAACAGAATAGAGAACCCAGAAGTAGAACAGAGAAGCAAGACACACTGAATTTTGATGTGGTAAAAAAGCAATCCGATGGAGGAAAGATAATCTTATTAATAAATGGTGTTAAACAATTGGATATCCACAGGCAATCAATCAACCCATAAAATGAACCTCGACATAAACTTCATACATTATATAGAAATTAACTCAAAAATCAATTATATATTTAAATGCAAAAGACAAAACTATAAAACTTAGAGGAAAACATGGGGGAAAATCTTTGGGTCTAAGGCTAGGCAAACATGAAACCAAAAGCAAGTTCATTAAGAGAAAAAAGTAAAAAAAAATTTTTTTAATAAAAAAAAATAAAAGAAGAAAGTCATTAAATTGAACTTCATCAGAATTTAAAACTCTGTGACATACTCTGTTAAAAGAATGGGAAAATGAGCTATATACCTGGAGAAAACATTTATAAAACATATAAATAATGGACTTGTATCTAGACTATATATAGAATTCTCATAATTAATGGTAAACAGTGAACAATCCACTTAGGAAATAGAGAAAAGAAATGAAGTGATATTTCACCAGAGGATGTACAAATGACAAATAAGAACATAAAAAGATGTTCAACATCACTAGCCATAAGACAAGCACTGATATTAGAAAAGCTAAAATAGAAAGAAACAAAGACAATATCAAATGCTGGCAAGGGTGTGGACCACCTGGGTCTCTGAATATTGCTAGTGAGAATGTAAAATGTTACAGCCATTTTGGAAAAAAAAAACAAAAGAAAACAAAAAAACAACTAAACACATACTTTCCATATCATTCAGCAAAAGCACTCCTGGGAATTTATCTCAGGGAAATGAGAACTTATATCTACACAAAAATGTGTACACAAAGGGCACCTGGGTGGCTCAGTCCGTTAAGTGGCTGATTCTTGATTTCAGTTCAGGTCATGATCTCGGGGTCCTGGGATTGAGCCCTGTGTCAGGCTTTGTGATCAGGGGGGGAGTCTGCTTGAGAAGTCTCTCTCTTCCTCTCCCTCTGCCCCTCCCCACCCCTAAAATAAATAAATAAATCT